TAAATTTATTTATTGTTATTTATGTAGAAGAACAAAGAAATTAACATGTATGATTTTATTTAGTAGATTTTTAATCATTTGAAAATCGAGATGCAGTGACTCAAAAGGATTTTGTTTTATTTATTTAATAATCTTGAATCGAAAGGATTGTTAATCTAAATTTATGTATACATATTAAAATTAAAGTGGAATGGGCAGTAACACTTATAACACACCCACTTTGAGATAAAGATAATGTACGAAGTCCTTAACTTGTAGATTTAAAAAACAAGTTTAATTTGTTGATGAACATTATATTACCTAGAGATTTATCTTCTTTTTTTTTTTCTAGAGTTTTTAGAGATTTATGTATTTTGATTGATATGTAAGTATTTGTTTTTTTTTAATCGATAATATAAATTAGTAATTTTAGGTGTATGTTTAGTATTTTGTTTATATATATATATATATATATATATATATATATTATTGCTCATACTTTTTTTAATGCCAGGCTCTTTCTATTTTTTTTATATAAATTTTATATAATACTCAATTTAGTAATTTTTTTTTGTTTATAGTGTTTTTAATCTGTCATTATATACATATTGATGAGTTAAATGTATGTGCTCTTTTTTTCTTTTTTTTAATCTTATTAAGATATACCTTAAATTCAATTTTTTTTTTTTAAAATTTTACCTAAGATTGAGAGATATAACTTCCATGTATTTTTTTTTCTTGAACTTTTTAAGCATTTTTTCTTGATTCTAGTGGATATGTGATTTTTTTAGTTGATAGTATTCATTAAGGCGAAACAAATTACGTTAGTATTTGATTAAAAAATAAAATTAATGATTTCTAATATTCCCAGAGATGTTGGTTAACACGTTTATTAGTTTTTGATTAAGAACTTAATTATTTCATGATTTCTAATTCTAAAGATGTTGTCTGTTTTTAATATTATCCTATTGAAAATTTAAAATTCTTTTATACTTCTAATCCTAAGGATGTCAAATTTATTTAGGATTTTTGTGTTGAGATTTATGTATAAATTAGATTAAATAGAATAGTTGGCATGTTTACAAACTCCTTGTGACTTAAAATTCATTCATAATTTGGCATTATCTGTTATAAGCTCTAGGCAATGGACATATATATATACACACACCTAATGAGTTATAGACATATACGATATCTGAGCCACATTCCTTATTCTACATAAAGTCTTTTAGTTCAAGAAAAATCAATTTGGAAGAATTCTTTAATTTATTGTACAAATAATTATTTATTTTATATACGTACAACTATTAAATTACAGAACCCATGCATCGAACGTGTGTATATATATATATATATATTGCATTTTGCTTTTCTAGATAAGAACTTCAATTCATTTGATATTTTGAACGAGGTTTTATTATATTGTATTTTTTTTATTCTTATCATGATTTTTATTCGCACAAGATGTTTATATATATATATATAGTAAGTTCCTCAATTTTGGCAAGATTTCTCTAATTTTAGTTAAATATTTTTTTTGTTATGCAATATTGAAAATATCTAATTACCAGAATTTATTATTGCATAGTTGATGTTACTTTTTTTTGGCATGTTTTCTGTTATATGACTAAGCATATAAATTTATTGTTTGCAGTACTATAACGAATATTAACAAATCTATATTACTTTTAATATATCTTTGTAACCATAGATTTTTTTACTGAAAATACTGGATTCAATTGATAAAATATATGAGGCACATAGATTTTAAGTTTGTATCTATGTTAATCGAATCTCCATCTAAAAATTGATTGAATTTAATTGGAAAAAGCGGTCATAATGACTAATCAAGGATATATTAAATCATTTACTTAAAAATTGATTAAAAGATATTTGAAAGATTATGCAGAGAAATGGTGACAAATTTCTAGCACAAATTTGTGTTTAAACACATGTAGAAACTAAGACTTTTGTTTCAACGGATCCGATTAAAAATTATATTATTGAAATCACTATACATTTGAATATTTAAAACTATTATATGCTAAAAAATTTTATTTCAAACAAATCTTGTTACAGATTATATTGTTGAAATTGATTTTCTACGAATCTAGCTAGGCTCACATATTAAATATTAAGTATAAATAATTTTTTTAGTTCCATATGTAATTAAGAATTTTTTCTGAGAATAATAATACGTGTGTGGTCATATCATGTACAAAAAAATAATTAATAGATTTATCATTTCCTAAGTTTATAGTTAATATTGTTTAGTTAATAATATGTTTTGAATTTCATTCTAAAAAAAATTTAAAATTTGAACATTATATATTACAGTGAATAATCAAGCTAAAAATTTAAACCAATAGTTAAGTACATATGCTATCAAATATAGTTAGCAACACTTACTTAGATGGACAATGGAATCACTTTAAGAAAGTTTATGCATCTTAACTAGTCACTAATAATGAATCATCTTTGCAAAAGAATAAATATGGAGTTAAAAAAAGAAGAAGAAATTATCAAATAATCTGGATATTTAGATATTAGTAATGGCAAAAGGATAGGTTTGAGATTATCAAATAATCTGGATGAGTTGGAGAAATAATCTTGTCGATAAAAAGTTTAGGGTTTTTCATCGATGAAAAAAAATATATTTTTAATAATTTCAACATAATACTTAGTTAATATATAATGAAAAAATAAATATTAAATCCAACTTTACCATAGCTTTGATACATACGAAAATATAAATGAAATAATAAACCTATTTTAGGAAATTAATTGTTTAAAAAACATAGTTAGCAAAACCAAATATATACGGGCTATCCACAAGGCCAGAGCCCAGGGGCAGCAGGCGTGTTCTCGTTTCCTCTTCACGTCAGTGTCAGTGAAAAAAAGCTCCATTGGGTTTGGTCAGTTCTCTTTCAGCAATCATTAAAAGAGAAAAAATAAAATAAAAATCCAGCACTAAAAATCAGTAAATTATAAATTAGTTCTTTTATTAAATAAAAAAATTAGTCTTGTTTATTTTAAAAAATAATTACTTAATTTTCAAATAGTATTGGCCATATTTTAAAAAATTAGTCTTGTTTATTTTAAATATTTTTTGTTATCATCAATTTTCTATAATATTTTTTAAAAAAACCCTTCAGCACTAAAAACGAGTAGATTATAAATTAGACATTTTTAAAAACAAATTAATTCATCCGGTTTGTTTCAAAAATTAATTATTTAATTTTTGATTAGTATTAATGATACTTAATTTAATAATATTTTTCTTCAAAAAAATTTATTCTTTTCTTATCAATCTTTTTATAATATTTATTTATTTTCTAAAATAAAAATAAATAAAAAATTAAATAATTAGTTTTTTTTAAATAAGAAAAAGAAATCAATTCGTTTTTTATTTTTAAAACTAAAAAGATTAAATTTATAATTTACTCCACTAAAAATTGTGCATTAGGATAAGTACATTTTGGTAAAGTAAGGTAAAAGAAAAGAAAGAAACGAGGATTCCGGTTTCTCGTTGCAACCGGTCCAAGCAATACGCTGTCGGCTCCACGCAATTAATTTAAGGCAATTACTTGTTACTACGTGGCAATATACATACATACATACATATATATATATATCTTTAAAAAAAAAATTGCCGAGTCAGTGGGAACCACTCTTGAAACTTTGAAAACAACGAGTGATATTTGATAACTCATTTAAATAGCTTAAAAAATTAAATTATATTATTTAATATAAAAAATTTGTTTGATAACCTAAATAATCTAATAGTAAAAATTTAAGTTCAATCAAAATCTACTTAATCGGATAAGTTAAAATTTTTAACTTATTACTTTTTTATCAATACATTCAGTTGAAAGATTTTTAAAACTTTTTAAATATAACTATATCATCCTTATATATTTTTATAACTTTAAATATACAAATCAACTGAAAAACAATTTTTACTATCCCATTGCTAAAATAGAGGAGACTTTCTCCATTATGGGTGTTATCATCTCGGAATTTGAAACGTCAATTAATATTATCTTATATCATATTTATTTATTTTTCAATAGTTATTTTTATTGAATTTTTATTTATTTAAATACATAAATACATTTATATATATATATATATATATATATATATATATATATAAAAAATATCATGTTACAATTATAAGGTTAAAATTATCATGTACATAGTTTTAATATGTTCAGTAATAATAATATGTTCAGTAATAGTACTTATCAAACAAACTTATTATATTCAATATTTAATTTTTGATAAATACAAAATAACTTATCAGAAACATATTTAATACTTAAAATTTAATACCCAATAAATTCAGTATTTAATTTTAAGTTTTATCAAACTACCCTTGACTGTTTGCTGCCATCTTATTCTTTGAGAAAAAGTCACCGTTTATAAGCGTCAAATATCTACAGCATTCGTAATTACATCCTCCTCTGTCTTTGCCTCTGGTCTGCCACACGAACGACATTGATTCCAGGTACCCCTCCTTTCCTGTCTTTCAAATTCTTCGTCATGTTTTTTTATTTATGCAACTTTTTTATTTTAGATTTTGGAAGTACATGATTTTCAAACTAAAGTCAAGATTTAAAGCTGTCTTTTATTTGAGATAAAAAAGAGTAGGAGACTAGAAAATGATTATGAAGCTTGAATGAATCTCTTATTTGCTGGTTGATTTGATTCTTGAATAAAATATACAGCACAAAGGTTAATGCAGAGCGATGTAGTTATGATTGGTAGATCTGAAATGCAAGTGTCTTCCTGGAGAAAAAAAGAAAAAAGAAAAGATAGAAGCCAAACTAAGAGTTAAACAGTTCAAAGTTTTTGGTGATGATTAGTACCTTTTAACTTGGTTAATTTAGTTTTTTCTATTAGCCTGGCTATATTTTTGTTTTCCATAATTGATTCTTTGACGTTGGTGTAGTTAATTTGGTAGGATTTTTACTAGATTAATTAGGTTGTGTCTCACAGGGCTAGCTCTTGAAAAGAATATGCTGCTGCTGACTTCTAGATTGCGGTTGCAATTGTTTCGGTTCGTAATTGCATTAGTTTTAGTCTTAAGCTATGTGGAAAATGGGAGTGTGGGTTTAACAAGCACTTTTGTTCGCGAGCAATGGTCAGCGGCTGATATTCCTCTTGGCGATGAAGTATTTGCAATTCCAAAAGGTTATAATGCTCCACAGCAAGTGAGTCTCGCACTTTTTGCTGAATGTTAGTTCAAAGCCTTGCTTTCTGTTGATGTTAATAATGACCTGATTAGTTTGTTAATTGTTAGGTGCACATCACTCAAGGCGATTATGATGGGAAGGCTGTAATAATCTCTTGGGTTACACCTGATGAACCGGGTTCTAATACTGTAAAATATGGCACATCGGATAAGAGATATGATTTTAGTGCTGAGGGCGTTGTTACTAACTACACCTTTTACAAATACAAGTCTGGCTACATTCATCACTGTCTTGTTGATGGGCTTGAGGTAAAATATTCATTTGAACTACGTGTTTGTTTTGATTTTTGAATGGTCTCAGTTTTGAGGTTTAACATGTCTGTCTTTTTAGTATGACGCCAAGTATTACTACAAGATCGGAGAAGGTGACTCTTCTCGTCAGTTTTGGTTTCGAACACCCCCAGAGATTGATCCGGATGCTTCCTACACATTTGGAATTATTGGTAAGATATTTTGCAACTTTTTAACAATAACAGAGTTGAATTTTTTTAGAGTAATTATTGGATTTTGCTTCAATAAGATGTTTTTTCAATCAATAGTCCATTTTTTCAACAGCAGGTAGTTTGATACTGAGCAATGGAATGCAGTGGTCGGAAGAACATGTTTCTTAGTTTCAGATCACATGTGTTTTAGATTTTTCTCATTCTGTAATGGTTTCTGTATGTTCTTTAGGTGATTTGGGTCAAACATATAATTCCCTTTCCACTCTCGAGCATTACATGCAGAGTGGGGGACAGACTCTTTTATTTGCTGGTGATCTCTCTTATGCTGATAAATATCAATACAATGATGTTGGAATTAGATGGGATTCATGGGGCCGTTTTGTTGAGCGAAGTGCTGCGTATCAACCATGGATTTGGTCAGCTGGGAACCATGAGATTGAGTACATGCCAGACATGGTAATCTCAAACTTTTTCACCTTATATTTTCTTTTCTAGTTTTTATGCTCTTGCCATTGATACATCGTTTCCTGTTTTTTTACTGCTCCAGTTTCAACACATGTCTAATCTTTGGCATTTTTGTTAGTAATACATCCTCTTTGCTTTCATGCTTGTCGACTCACACGCAAATCCTCTTGCTCCAGGAGGAGGTCCTTCCATTTAAATCATTTCTGCATAGATTTGCTACTCCTCATACAGCCTCAAAGAGCACCAATCCTCTTTGGTATGCTGTACGCCGTGCATCTGCTCACATCATTGTCCTCTCCAGCTATTCTCCATTTGGTAATCTATTATTCACTGTGTTTTGGTGGCTAGTAGTACCTAGTCTGTTCCTTAGATGAATCTCCAGCGATGGCAACTGTTGTTGATAATTTAATACTTCCTATTCTTAGTTCATGTAGATTATACCATGTTACCTAAGTCATATGTTTTTTGGTCCTAACCAATATGGTTATATGTTTATTTATTTATTAACCAGTGAAATATACTCCTCAATGGAGGTGGCTTAGAGAAGAATTGACAAGAGTCAACAGGGAGAAAACACCTTGGCTCATTGTTATCATGCATGTGCCCATCTACAACAGTAATGCAGCCCACTATATGGAAGGTGAAAGCATGCGAGCTGTCTACGAAAGCTGGTTTGTCAAAGCCAAAGTCGACTTCATTTTTGCGGGTCATGTTCATGCCTATGAACGATCAGTACGTACATACTTTCCTCATTTTTGTGCTTTCTGTAGACCTATCTATAATTGATCATAGTTATATAGCTAATAAACTTGGGTATTTGTACCTTTCTCTTACACCAAATGTAAATCTCATTTGATCATCCTCCTGAAACATCAGAGTCCCGAAGAACATTCATTTACAAAGTTTTTATTGGAAAAAGGAGCTAATTCCTGAAATAGATCGTTGGAGATTGCAAGCTGGCATGCAGCTCCTATACTTGAATCAACCCAGCCTCATGGTTAAGAAAAAAATTTAGCCCACACAACAATTTTGAATACCCTGCCATTCCTATTCCAAGAATTAAGTAACATGAAGATAGTATAAAAGAAAACGCACTACATATTTTCCTCTTGTTTATTTCATGATGCATGATGCTCCCAAAATTAAGTGCCTTCACTGAGCTGTGAAGCAGAAGCCATGGAGTTGCAACCCCTTATATCCTAATCCCAATGGTGCTGTATATTGTTTTATGCACTAATTTTGCATTTATCAAGTCTTTCCTTATCTCAGAATGAGTATTCTCAATTTACAGTATCGTATCTCAAATATACATTATAACGTGTCATCTGGTGACCGTTATCCTGTTCCTGACAAATCAGCACCAGTGTACCTAACTGTTGGAGATGGGGGAAATCAGGCAGGTCTTTCTGGGAGGTGAGGCAAATCCTACTGTTTAAGCTTAGGCAAATCTAACTAATTCAAATACAGGTTCCCTATTAACTGTTGACATTTATAATTAGGTTCTTGGACCCACAACCAGAATACTCTGCATTCAGAGAAGCTAGTTATGGTCATTCTACCTTGGAGATCAGGAACAGAACACATGCATTCTACCATTGGAACAGAAATGATGATGGAAAGCCTGTAAGAACCGATTCTGTAATTTTCCACAACCAATACTGGTATGTATGATCTCTTTGCCTTCCCTTTTTGTTCAAGAATTCTAGATACTAGTGTTAATGATTTTGATATTTCTCAAGCATTAGATAAGTATTATAGTTGCATTGGGAAGTCGGCATTGTGTACTCTCACTTTTTGAAGAAAGATGAAGTTTCTAATGAAGATAGAGGAAGCCATTTTCTAAGGTATCAAATATCAGATGGGCAACAAAATTGATGCAAAAATCTTGTACAATATAGCTAATTCATTCGCTCATTAGTACACTAATAAAACAATCTATATGGAATTCTATTCATAAAAATCAAGCTAGTACAATAACTTTATCATCTGCGTTTGAGTAACATAATATCATGTATATACTTCAAAGTGATCGCCACTCATCATTGGCTATCCGTTGTCCATAACTTCTTTCATGGATGTGGTTCGATTTACTCCATGACTGTGAGCTCTAAATGAATTGTTATGTAGGGCAAGCAATCTGCACAGAAGGTGACATGTCAAGGCCAGGGGACATGTTAGTTACTGAAGACGATGGATAGAAAGGTTTCATGGATTTGTGCACTTCTGTGCATATCGAGTCAGAGAAGTAAATAATTTGCACTCCTGGATTTGCCACTGCTGTATTATAATGATTGCGAGATGCCATCAACTTGGACTGTTGGCAGAAATATTTTGGGGATCAAGATTAACTACATTCGTAGTAAATGGCCATTTTCAGTCTGCTGAACTTGCCAACATTGAATGTGAATTCATCATTTTACTGCCAAAAAAAAAAATTGTTAACGAGCCCTCACTACTAGAGCTACTAGAGGTTATTATGTTGATTTTCCTGAAATATTCCTTGATTTCTCAGACACTTAATAATGACACATTGTTGGTCACTATATGGCAGAAATATCAGCTCAACTCTAACGTATAGTAGCTAGGTCATCTCTGAGGTCTAGAAAGAGGGGACAGCAAAAGTAACTCTTGAGGTGATATTCTGAACATCTTACATGATCTAAATTTGCATTTGAATTGAGCTTAAAATGGGTAATTGAGGATTTATAGGAAAGTTTACTGCATGTTTTGGAGTTAGAAATCAAGGGACAGAAGTAGTCACAAATAAGCATCCTTTTGCTTTCGTGGAGAATGTCCAGTAATAATGTCTTTTAACCAAATTTAATTCAAAAACTCATTTATTATTTAATCAAACCTATTATCTTGCACGTTTTTCACACCGATAACAGTTAATGTCGACTTCTAACATTTCATTCCATCCCTTAAATGTCCTTTACAACCTTAGCATTTTAGGGTTTAAAACTTGTACTCTTGGTAATGAAAGAAAAAAATAGATAGAGCACAATTGGGAAAGACGATAAGAAAGGAATATATTGAAAATAATAATAATAATAAAATAGAGGCAAAAAGTGAATATTTGTTTATATAGCATTTGATTCGTAAGAAAATAGAAATTAAAAAATTAGAGATTTATAACACATAAAATTGATAAAAAATGGTTTTTAAAATGTCAAATAATAAGCTTTTCAAACTAAAATTTAGGCGGAAAATATATTACATGTGAAAATTATGTAAAAAGCTTTTTGAATGGATTATATATATATATATATAAGGACAGCAGGAAATTTCTTGCTAGGAAATTAATGTCTTTTTTGCATGTAGCCACGTACGCAGCCAAAGATAAATTTGGTTTTTGTTAAAAAAAAGAAGTGTTTAAGGAAAGATCTAATCCAAAAAACCGCCTAACAAAACAATGTTCTGCGTGGTAAAAATAAAATCAGCAAGACAAAACCAATTAGTAGTTTTGTATTATTTTAAGTAATGTCCTAAAACGGTGCAATATTGAAAATATCAAATTGCCAAAATTTATTATTGTAGCTGATGTTATTATTATTATTTTTTTTGGCAAGTTTTTTTCTATATCACTAACCATATAAATTTATTGTTTGCAGTACTATAATGAATATTAACAAATCCATATTAATTTTAATATATTTTTGAAACCATATATTTTTTTCATTGAAAATACTGGATTCAACTGAGAAAATATATGAGGTACATAGATTTTAAGTTTCTTGCTATGTTAATCGAATCACGATCTAACAATTGATTGAATTTAAGAAATTTTTAAAAACATTTATAACTCGAAGTGTTAATCCACTGTAACATTCACTATTTATGGAGACTTTCATTAAGTTTTGATGATCAAAATGGGCTGAGTTTTTATATTATTTACTTCCATGTCACTGAGTGCTTTTCCGATTTTACTTTGTTGTCCCTCTTAGTAGCGTTATGTTTGGTTGGATGTGTGCCTTCTTGTGGTATTTACTTATCTTCTTCTAGAATGCATTTAACGTCTTGCTTTTTCTACCTTTGTTTCTTCTCTAATTTTTCTTCTTCTACCAGATTTCTTTTCTCGCGATCGAGGGCCACGTTTTTGCTTTGTTGGCAGCTAATTTTTTCATCCTTGAATTCCAACTTGGACATGGTTTGGTTTCTGGGTTCTGGTTGCTTATGGATTTTGATTTGTTTTTTTCTTCTTCGCCTAATTTTTTCTCTGCTTGGTTCAGTTGGTTTTTGACCGAATATTTTTTATTCTTTCTCTGCAATTTGTGTGGGAATTTTCTTCCATTTTTTTCCACACGGCATCTTCTCAACAATTTTTTGCATTTTTTTCTTCTTTTTCCGCCAGATAAGCCTTCTTAATTTTTCTTTTTTATAATTTATAATTGTTTTTTTTTTTTTTGGTGGGTGTGTTCTGGTCGTTTATTTTGCTCCATTTATTGTTCTATATAAGACGCTTTCTTAGTTGTGCCCTCTGTTATTTGCTTTTTAGAGTAATTCACAAATTTTATATGCTTTGCTTCTAGGAAATCAAGTTTTTGCTAGATGTTTGGTGCTGAGTTGTTTGGGTTCTTTTGTTTGTGTTTCAGTCTTCTGCAGCTGGAAGGTATTTACTCATTCTCTATATGATGTGTGAGTTCATGATTTTCATTTTTCATTTGTTTAATATTGTGTCAGAGTTAAAGACTAAAATTCAAAAAAAATAAAAAAATCATTGACTATTAGTAGTTTTGTTATCACTTTGTCATAAAAAGAAAATAATCAAAATCAATCAAAATAAAAAACCGATAAATTCTTGATTTTTTCAATTCACGCCAAAATCTGATCTAAGGAGTCCTTTCTTTTGACTAATAATTAATAAAGAAAACGCATTTAAATAACTTACCATTGGAGAAGCCTGTATGAAAGGCTTCAATCCTGATGCCTTCAAAATCTGTAAACATCCTTTCATCCTATTTTTTACTTATTATTATTGATGAATGAATCAAGGAACTTACATGTTTTTTCTTTTTATTATTTTTTTAATATTAGACCATTAGTATTAATCAATATTCAATAAAAATAAGCCAATTTTATTTAATAAAACCTGCAATAAAATGATATTTCAATTACAAAAATGGTGGAATCAAGAAGGGACGAAAAAAAAAAAAACTAGGTGTTGTTCAGTAGCGGTGGTAGTTAATACACAATAAATAAATAAATATATTATTATTTTGAAAAAAATATTATTTTTATTCTCATCTTTTAAGTGAGAATGTTATTATTTTGAAAAAAATATTATTTTTATTCTAATCTTTTAAGTGAGAATGAAGTTGCGTGTAATTTTTATTTTCATTCATATTAATTATTCTCTTTTCCACTTCATTCTTTTCAACAAAACAATTATAATGTAGAAATAAAACTTCTATTCTCATTTTCACTACTCCATTATTTATAACCAAACAACATCTTAGTGTGTTTTATTGCTCATATTTTTTTAATACCATACCCTTTCTATCTTTTGTTTATTTTTGTATTTTTTCTAATATTCTATCTTTTTCTAAATAGGGTACTATATTATTTTTTGAAAAAAATTAACTATATGCACAAGTCAACGTGGTAGTTTTATTTATAATTTATTTATTGAAATATGAACTGAATTATAAATTTATTTATTGTTATTTATGTACAAGAACAAAGAAATTAACATGCATGATATTATTTAGTAGATTTTTAATCATTTGAAAATCGAGATGCAGTGACTCAAAAGGATTTTGTTTGATTTATTTAATAATCTCGAATCGAAAGGATTGTTAATCTAAATTTATGTATACGTCTTAAAATACAGTGTAATGGGCAGTAGCACTTATAACACACTCACATTTAAAATAAAGATAATGTGCGAAGTCCTTAACTTGTAGATTTAGAATGGAAGTTTGATTTGTTGATGAATATTATAATCTCTAGAGATTTATCTTATTTATTTATTTATTTTATATAGTTTTTAGAGATTTATGTATTTTGATTGATATGTAAGCATTTTTTTTAATTGATAATATAAATTAGTAATTTTAGGCATTTAGTAGTTTGTTTATATATATATATATATATATATATATAGATATTCTTGCTCATGTTTTTTAATGAGAGGCTCTTGCTATTTTTTTTTTTAGAAATTTCATATAACACTCAATTTAGTATGTTTTTTTTTTGTTTGTAATGTTTTTAATCCGTCCTTATATACATATTGATGAATTAAATGTATGTGCTCTTTTTTTTTTAATCTTATTAAGATATACCTTAAATTCATTTTTTTTTAATGTTACCTAAGATTGAGAGATATAAACTCCATGTATATTTTATTTTTCTAGAACTTTTTAAGCATTTTTCTTGATTCTAGTGGATATATGATTTTTTGAGTTGATAGTATCAATTAAGGTTAAGCAAATTTGTGTTGGTATTTGATTAAAAAATAAAATTAATGATTTCTAATATTCCTAGGGATGTTGGTTAACACGTGTATCAGTGTTTGATTGAGAACTTAATTTTTTCATGATTTCTAATTCGAAAGATGTTGTTTGTTTTTAATATTATCCTCTTGAAATTTTTAAAATTTTAAATTCTTTTATATTTCTAATCCTAAGGATTTCAAATTTATTTAGGATTTTTTGTGTTGAGATTTATTTATAAATTAGATTAAATAGAATAGTTGGCATTTGTACAAACTACCTGTGACTTAAAATTCATTCATAATTTGGCTTTATCTGTTATCATTCTTAGGCACAGCGCGCGCGCACATATATATATATATATATATATATATATATATATATACCTAAGGAGTTATATACATATACAATATTTGAGCCACATTCATTATTTTACATAAAGTCTTTTAGTTTAACAAAAATCAAATTGGAAGAATTCTTTTATTTATTGTACAGATAATTATTTATTTTACATACATACAACTACTAAATTACAGAACCCATGCATCGAACGTATTTTTTATATATTTTTTTACTTTTGCTTTTCTAGATAAGAACTTCAATTCGTTTGATATTTTGAACGAGGTTTTATTATATAATATTTTTTTTCCTTCTTACTATGATTTTTATTCGCACAAGATGTTATATATGCAGATGCAGAAAATAATAAGTTCCTCAATTTTGACAAGATTTTTCTAATTTTAGTTTAAGTTTTTTTTTAATGCAATATTGACAATATCTAATTGCCAGAATTTGTTATTGTATAGTTGATGTTATTATTATTATTTTTTTTGCATGTTTTCTATTATATGACTAAGCATATAGATTTATTGTTTGCAGTATTATAATGAATATTAACAAATCTATATTACTTTTAATATATTTTTGTGACCACAGATTTTTTTACTGAAAATACTGGATTCAATTAATAAAATATATGGGGTACATAGATTTTAATTAAGTTTGTTACTATGTTAATCGAATCACCATCTGAAAATTGATTGAATTTAATTGGAAAAAGTGTTCACAATGACTAATCAACGATATATTAAATCATTTACTTAAAAACTGATTAAAATATATTTGAAAGATTATGTAGAGAAATGGTGACAAATTTCTAGCACATTTGTGTTTAAACACATGTAGAAATTAAAACATTTCTTTCCACGGATCTGATTAAAAATTATATTATTGAAATCACTATATTAAAAGTATTTTTTCCATTATATGCCAAAAAAAATTTATTTCAAACAAATCTTGTTACAAATTATATTGATGAAATTGATTTTCTACGAATCTAGGTTCACATATTAAATATCAAGTATAAATAAATTTTTTAGTTCCATATCACGTAATTAAGTATTTTTTCTGTGAATAATAATACGTGTGGTTATATCATATACAAAAACATAATTAATGGATTTATCATTTCCTAAGTTTATAGTTAATATTGTTTAGTTAATAATATATTTTAAATCTCACTCTAGAAAAGTTAAAAACTGGATATTATATATTACAGTAAATAATCAACTGAAAATTTAAACCTATAGTTACATATGCTATCAAATATAGTTAGCAACGCTCATTTAGATGGACTATGGATTCACTTAAAGAAAGTCAATTCATCTTAATTAGTCGCTAATAATGAATTATCTTTGCAAAAGAATAAATATGGAGTTAAAAAAAGAAGAAGAAAGAAATTATCAAATAATCTGGATATTTTGATATTAGTAATGGCAACATCCGGTTTGAGATTAGTTATGCATCCCATGAATTAGTAAATTAGTCATTTTATTTTTTAAAAAACTAAACTTTCAGCACTAAAAATCAGTAAATTATAAATTAATCATTTTATTTTTTTTAAAAATTAAGTAGTCTTATTTATTTTAAAAATTAATTATTTAATCTCTTGAATAATATTGATCGTATTTAATTTAATATCATTTTATTTTAAAAAATAATTTTTCTCATCATCAATTTTCTATTATATTTACTAAAAAACCTTTCAGCGCTAAAAATGAATAGATTATAATTAGTCATTTTTAAAAACAAATTAATTCATCCGGCTTTTTTTAAAAATTAATTATTTAATTTTTTGATTAATGTTGATGATACTTAGTTTAATAATTTTTTTCAAAAAAACATATTCTTTCATCATCGATCTTTTTATAATATTTATTTATTTATTTTGTAAAAAAATAATTAAAAACCATAAAATGAATAAAAAATAAATAATTAATTAAAATAAGAAAGAGTAATCAATTCGTTTTTTAAATTAAAAAGACTAATTTATAATTTACTCCACTGAAAATTGTGCATTAGGACAAGTACATTTTGGTAAAGTAAGGTAAAGGAAAAGAAAGAAACGAGGATTCGGCTTTCTCGTTGAAACAGGTCCAATCAATACGCTGTCGGCTCCACGCAATTGATTTAAGGCAATTATTTGTTACTACGTGGCAGTATACGATTGGTCTATCTATCTTTTTTAAAAAATTGCCGAGTCAGTGGGGGCCACTCTTGAAACTTTGAAAACAACGACTGCATAACTGTTTGCTGCTATCTTACTCTTTGAGAAAAAGTCACCGTTTATAACCGTCAAATATCTACAGCATTTGTAATTACATCCTCCTCTGTCTTTGCCTCTGGTCTGCCATACGAACGACATTGATTCCAGGTACCCCCTCCTTTCCTGTCTTTCAAATTCTTCGTCATGTTTTTTTATTTATGCAACTTTTTTATTTTAGATTTTGGAAGTACATGATTTTCAACTTAAAATCAAGATTTAAAGCTGTCTTTTATTTGAGATAAAAAAGAGTAAGAGACTAGAAAAAGATTATGAAGTTTGAACGGATCTCTTATTTGTTGGTTGATTTGATTCTTGAATGAAAATATACAGCACAAAGGTTACTGCAGAGCGATGTAGTTATGATTGGTAGATCTGAAATGCAAGTTTCTTCCTAGAGAAAAAAGAAAGATGGAAGCCAAACTAAGGGTTAAACAGTTCAAAGTTTTTGGTGATGATTAGTACCTTTTAACTTGGTTAATTTAGTTTTTTCTGTTAGTCTGTCTATATTTTTGTTTTCGGTAATTGATTCTTTGACGTTGCTGTAGTTAATTTGGTAGGATTGTTACTGGATTAATTAGGTTGTGTCTCACAGGGCTAGCTCTTGAAAAGAATATGCTGCTGCTGACTTCTAGATTGCGGTTGCAATTGTTTCGGTTCGTAATTGCATTAGTTTTAGTCTTTAGCTATGTGGAAAATGGGAGTGTGGGTTTAACAAGCACTTTTGTTCGCAAGCAATGGTCAGCGGCTGATATTCCTCTTGGCGATGAAGTATTTGCAATTCCAAAAGGTTATAATGCTCCACAGCAAGTGAGTCTCGCACTTTTTGCTGAATGTTAGTTCAAAGGCTTGCTTTCTGTTGATGTTAATAATGACCTGATTAGTTTGTTAATTGTTAGGTGCACATCACTCAAGGTGATTATGATGGGAAGGCTGTAATAATCTCTTGGGTTACACCTGATGAACCGGGTTCTAATACTGTAAAATATGGCACATCGGATAAGAGATATGATTTTAGTGCTGAGGGCGTTGTTACTAACTACACCTTTTACAAATACAAGTCTGGCTACATTCATCACTGTCTTGTTGATGGGCTTGAGGTAAAATATTCATTTGAACTACGTGTTTGTTTTGATTTTTGAATGGTCTCAGTTTTGAGGTTTAACATGTCTGTCTTTTTAGTATGACGCCAAGTATTACTACAAGATCGGAGAAGGTGACTCTTCTCGTCAGTTTTGGTTTCGAACACCCCCAGAGATTGATCCGGATGCTTCCTACACATTTGGAATTATTGGTAAGATATTTTGCAATTTTTTAACAATAACAGAGTTGAATTTTTTTAGATTAATTATTGGATTTTGCTTAAATAAGATGTTTTTTCAACCAATAGTCCATTTTTTCAACATCAGGTATTTTGATACTGAGCAATGGAATGCAGTGGTCGGAAGAACATGTTTCTTAGTTTCAGATCACATGGGTTTTAGATTTTTCTCATTCTGTAATGGTTTCTGTATGTTCTTTAGGTGATTTGGGTCAAACATATAATTCCCTTTCCACTCTCGAGCATTACATGCAGAGTGGGGGACAGACTCTTTTATTTGCTGGTGATCTCTCTTATGCTGATAGATATCAATACAATGATGTTGGAATTAGATGGGATTCATGGGGCCGTTTTGTTGAGCGAAGTGCTGCATATCAACCATGGATTTGGTCAGCTGGGAACCATGAGATTGAGTACATGCCAGACATGGTAATCTCAAACTTTTTCGCCTTATATCTTCTTTTCTAGTTTTTATGCTCTTGCCATTGATATATCGTTTCCTGTTTTTTTACTGCTCTAGTTTCAGCACGTCTAATCTTTGGCATTTTTGTTATTAATACATCCTCTTTGCTTTCATGCTTGTCGACTCACACGCAAATCCTCTTGTTCCAGGAGGAGGTCCTTCCATTTAAATCATTTCTGCATAGATTTGCTACACCTCATACAGCCTCAAAGAGCACCAATCCTCTTTGGTATGCTATACGCCGTGCATCTGCTCACATCATTGTCCTCTCCAGCTATTCTCCATTTGGTAATTCATTATTCACTGTGTTTTGGTGGCTAGTACCCAGTCTGTTCCTTGGATGAATCTCCAGGGATGGCAACTATTGTTGATAATTTAATGCTTCCTATTCTTAGTTCATGTAGATTATACCATGTTACCATAAGTCATATGTTTTTTGGTCCTAACCAATATGGTTATTTATTTATTAACCAGTGAAGTATACTCCTCAATGGAGGTGGCTTATAGAAGAATTGACAAGAGTCAACAGGGAGAAAACACCTTGGCTCATTGTTATCATGCATGTTCCCATCTACAACAGTAATGCAGCCCACTATATGGAAGGTGAAAGCATGCGTGCTGTCTACGAAAGCTGGTTTGTCAAAGCCAAAGTCGACTTCATTTTCGCTGGTCATGTTCATGCCTATGAAAGATCAGTATGTACAGACTTTCCTCATTTTCATGCTTTCTGTAGACCTATCTATAATTTATCATAGTTATATATAGCTAATAAACTTGGATATTTGTACCTTCCTGTTACACCAAATGTAAATCTCATTTGATCATCCTCCTGAAACTTCACACAATCCCGAAGAACATTCATTTACAAAGTTTTTACTGGAAAAAGGAGCTGATTCTTGACATAGATCTTCGGAGATTGCAAGCTAGCATGCAGCTGCTATACTTGTGACTCAACCCAGCCTCATGGTTAAGAAAAAATTTAGCCCAACCCGACAATTTTGAATACCCTGCCATTCCTATTCCAAGAATTAAGCAACATGAAAACAGCATAAAAGAAAAAGCACTACATATTTTTCTCTTGTTTATTTCATGATGCATGATGCTCCCAAAATTAAGTGCCTTGACTGAGCTGTGAAGCAGAACCCATGGAGTTGCAACCCTTCATAGTCTAATACTAATGATGCTGTATATTGTTTTACGCACCAATTTTGCATTTATCAAGTCTTTCCTTATCTCAGAATGAGTATTCTCGATTTACAGTATCGTATCTCAAATATACATTATAACGTGTCAACTGGTGACCGTTATCCTGTTCCTGACAAATCAGCACCAGTGTACCTAACTGTTGGAGATGGGGGAAATCAGGAAGGTCTTGCTGGGGGGTGAGGCAAATCCTACTGTTTAAGTTTAGGCAAATCTAACTAATTCAAATACAGGTTCCCTGTTAACTGTTGACATTTATAATTAGGTTCTTGGACCCACAACCAGAATACTCTGCATTCAGAGAAGCTAGTTATGGTCATTCTACCTTGGAGATCAGGAACAGAACACATGCATTCTACCATTGGAACAGAAATGATGATGGAAAGCCTGTAAGAACCGATTCTGTAATTTTCCACAACCAATACTGGTACGTATCATCTCTTTGCCTTCCCTTTTTGTTCAAGAATTCTAGATACTAGTGTTAATGATTTTGATCTTTCTAAAGCATTAAATAAGTATTATAGTTGCATTGGGAAGTCGGCATTGTGTACTCTCACTTTTTGAGGAAAGGTGAAGTTTCTAATGAAGATAGAGGAATCCATTTTCGAAGTTATCAAATGTCAGATGAGCAACAAAATTGATGCAAAAATCTTGTATAATATAGCTAATTCTTTCGCTCATTACTACACTAATAAAACAATCCATATGGAACTCTATTCATAAAAATCATGCTAGTAAAATAACTTTATCATCTGCATTTGAGCAACATAATAGCATGTATATACTTCAAAGAGATTGCCACTCATCGTTGGCTATCCAGTGTCCATAACTTCTTTCATGGACGTGGTTCGATTACTTGATCACTGTGAGCTCTAAATGAATTGTTATGTAGGGCAAGCAATCTGCATAGAAGGAGACATCTCAAGGCTAGGGGACATGTTAGTTACTGAAGATGATGGATAGAAAGGTTTCATGGATTTGTGCACTTCTGTGCATATCGAGGCAGAGCAGTAAATAATTTGCACTCCTGGATTTGCCACTGCTATATTATAAAGATTGGGAGATGCTATCAACTTGGACTGTTGGCAGAAATATTTTGGGGATCAAGATTAATGGCCATTTTCAGTCTGCTGAGCTTGCCAACATTGAATGTAAATTTATCATTCTACTGCCAAAACAAATTGTTAATGAGCCCTCACTACTAGAGCTACTAGAGGTGATTAGGTTGATTTTCCTGAAATATTCCTTGATTTCTCAGACAGTCAATAATGACACATTGTTGGTCAGTATATTGTTTCGGACTCCATTGTAAATGATGATAATGTTAAATAAAATGGTCTTTTCTTTCCTCAATTTCACATCTTGTTATAGAAAGAACTTTTCCTAGCTAATATAAATATGGTCATTAGCAAAAGATCGAACTTTATCACTAGATGGATCCGAAGAAGAGTATCAGATTCCGCAAAACCCTTATCAGCTCAGCTCTCACGTATACTAGCCCTATCTCCGAGGTCCAGAAAGAGGGGCCAGCAGTAACTACTGAGGTGATATTCTGAACATCTTACATGATATAAATTTGCATTTGAATTGAGCTTAAAACGGGTAATTGAGGATTTATAGGAAAGTTTACTGCATGTTTTGGAGTTAGAAATCAAGGGAGAGAAGCAGTCACAAATAAGCATCCTTTTGCTTTCGCGGAGAATGTCCAGTAATAATGTCTTTTAACCAAATTTAATTCAAAAACTCATTTATTATTTAATCAAACCTATTATCTTGCACGTTTTTCACACCGATAACAATTAATGTCGACTTCTAACATTTCATTTCATCCCTTAAATGCCCTTTACAACCTTAACATTTTAGGGTTTAAAACTTGTACTCTTGGTAATTAAAGTAAAAAATAGATAGAGCACAGTTGAGAAAGACTATAATTAGGGAATTTATTGAAAATAATAATAATAATAATAATAATAAAATAGAGGCAAAAAGTGAATATTTGTTTATATAGCATTTGATTCATAAAAAAGTAGAAATTAAAAAATTAGAGATTTATAACACATAAAATTGATAAAAATGGCTTTTAAAATGTCAAATAATAAGCTTTTCAAACTAAAATTTAAACCAAATTACCTTCTAACCCAAGCTTGAGGAACTAATATTTGCAAGTAAATCGATGGAGTTGGTGAATGGCTATTTCTATCATTGAGAAATGGAGAAACCATGTGATTCGTGATGGGTTGCATATTTGTATATCAAACTTCCAATCTTTTGCATGGACGATAATTTCCTACTTCTAGAAAATAGGAAAATATCTATTTGTATCACTGATTTTCATGTACCTTAGAAACTTTAGCATATTAATATTAACCACCATTTTCTTCTTCTTTTTTCCTTTTAGCAATTCTAACTTCTCTTTTCTTTCTGATATTTTCTCTTCTTCTCTTTCCTTTTTCTTACTCCTCATATAACAATAGAAATCTCTTCAAAACTCTCTCTTCTAGAGTTTTTGATTGAAAACTTTGTTATATTTTCATGATTTAGTTGAAGGTAATATCATAAAATTCTAACAAATCAATCAATAATCCATAAATAATATTTCATTACAAGATTCATGCTAGGAGTGAGTTTTGGTGTATATATAAGTCATTAGGCGGAAAATATATTACATGTGAAAATTATGTAAAAAGCTTTTTGAATGGATTATATATATATATAAAAGGACAGTAGGAAATTTCTTGCTAGGAAATTAATGTCTTTTTTGCATGTAGCCACGTACGCAGCCAAAGATAAATTTGGTTTTTATTAAAAAAAAGAAGTATTTAAGGAAAGATCTAATCCAAAAAACCGCCTAACAAAACAATGTTCTGCGTGGTAAAAATAAAATCAGCAAAACAAAACCAATTAGTAGTTTTGTATTATTTTAAGTAATGTCCTAAAACGGTGCGTGAGTTTCAAAAACAATTGATTGCCATGCAGAGAGTACGAAATGGTAAGTTGAATGTTTTCTTTCTCGGTCATTAATTAAATTTTTTTCTGGTACTTGATGATAAAACCGTACCTTTTGCACCTTATTGGTATATAAGTGAGATGCTTACTAGTAACTTTGTTTGTACTCTCATAATACGTTTGATTTTTGTTTTGTTTTCTTTTTAAGTTTGCTTCCTGCTTTTTTCTCTTACTATAGAGACTAGAAAGGGAAGATGGAGTTGGGTTCCATGTGGAGTTATGAAGAGGTACGTGGGTTCGTTCTACTCTCGTTTCCTCTCCGTGCTCTTGTTAACTTGGTCTGCCATTTAAGCATCTTGTTTTCCACTGTAATGGTATGTTTGCTCATTATCAGTTTTTTTCTAAAATGAGTTAATTATAGAGTGTTTCATCGGTAAGCATGAGAGTTTGGATAGTGGCTTCTTATAAAAGATTAAGATTTCAAATTCTAATAGAATAATTTTATTAAAAGTTTTGGACGTATGAATTAAAAAAAAATTCTAATAGAATAATTTTATTAAAAGTTTTGGACGTATGAATTAAAAAAAAATTCAAGAGTTCTGATATCATATATTACAATATGTAGTTAGTAGCATATTTACATTTCTATTTATAATCATGGTTATTTTTAAATTTTTTTTTTAAGTTTTGACAATGGGGTATTTTCAAATAAAAAGATGATAATGTTTTTTGTCCAAAAGAATGTGATTTACTTATCTTATATATATATATATATATATATATATATATATATATAAAGTCTGTGACTTTTTTTTTTTCCCATGAGTATGCCTTGTAAGCTGTTTTTTAGTCTTCATGTTGATTTTTTGCATGGCAGATTTTATTTTATATTTTGGATGTTGTTGTCTTTTCACGTAAAATAGTTGCTATTGATTGGCTAGAATGAGAGCCTTTGATGGTGCTTCTTTCTTTCATGCTGTTGATGTTCACATGCAATTCACAAGTAATTTCAAATTCCAAAATAGATCAATTCTAGAAAGTTAATTTTAATTATGCCATTTCAATTTTAAAATAATTTTGTTGCAAGAGTAGTTTAACGAATGTATACTACTTCACAATGCAAAATTACTCAAAACATCCAACAAAATATAAATAAGATAAATAAATTAAATACATTATAATTTTGATTCCTTCAACATGAAGCTCGTGCCTTACCTTTTTTCCCTTCCAATTTTTTTATTCTTTTCTCCTCTATATCATTCACTTTAATTAAGCTTTTCATTTCCTTTTTTTTTTTTTTTGCTAATTTTATAATTCAATAGAAATGGTAAGAGACTTAAATGCTTTACAATTTAGGTTCAATGTTAAAATTTTCCATATGTAGTGACCATCGCACTCATTTAGCAAAAACATTAATTAAAAGGGGCAAGTGTCAAATACTTTATAACATTAGGGACCATTTAAAAATTTTCCACATTGGAATTTCTGTCCCTGCCAATTCAGGATTCTGTGACTTTTATCGCATCAAGATTGGTGTCCATCTCATTGATGCCAAGGTATTGATGTTCATTTTGTGCCTCTTCGAAACCGAGGCTTCAATTTTCGTTCCGTTGCTTTATTGCGATGAAAATATTTGGTGATATTAAAATATATATTAACTATAGGTTTTTTCTGTATTTGAAATCTGTATTATATATATTGCTTTGATTGAGAACTTTTAAGTTTTTAAAATTTTTTATTTCAGATTTTTTTTGTTATAATATCATTTTTTGATAATCTTCATGTCATCTCTATTTTTCGAAATTTAATTGATGATGTTATAATAAAAAATTTAAAAAAAATAAAGGACTTCAATAGAAAAAAATTTAAAAGGTACATGGTTTAAACGTGGGAAAAACCATTATCCATATCTTTATAACTAATTAACCTGTACTGAATCTTGACAGACCATTGATGAATTGAAGCAGAAGCTTGTGTACGCCACCATTGAATTAGAGTCACTGAAAGTTGAAGCAAACGAAGAACTGAGAAAGCACAACGAGGATGTGGAGCAATTAATCACCATGCTAAAGGTTGCTTCCCAAGAAAGAGATGAGGCCAAAGCTCAACTGCAAAAACTACTTAACAATCTGATCCTTTCTAAACCTACTGAATTACTGCCAATTCTTCCTCAAGCACAATCTGGAAACCCCCTTGTAATTTCAGCTCAGGGGAACTCGAGCGTTACTGAATCTAACAGTCTATCTGATACACATAATCACAAATCACATGGCTCCTCTCCAGTGGATTCCTTCTTTGATGCAATTGCTTCACCAGATTTCTCTAGCATTAACATGGCAGAATCAAGTCAGATGGGGTTTGGGAGAAGCACATTTGTTCAAGAGTGTAATAAAGGCTCCATGTCAGCAGGTTTGGTGGCTCCGGCAGTGGCCAGGATAGATCCGGTCGATGCTGTAATCGACAATTTTGTGAAAGGAAAAGTGCTGCCTCAAAAGGGAAAGTTGTTGCAGGCTGTAACGGAAACAGGCCCTCTTCTTCAAACACTACTTCTTGCAGGCCCCCTTCCACGGTGGAGGAATCCGCCTCCACTGCGGCCGTTAAAGATCCTACCTTTTTCCATCAGTAATCAGAATACAGCGGCAAATGCAAGCTCTCCTGCTCAAACCCCACTGGCTTCATCATCGTATATTGAGTTGCGTCGTGGATCTTCAAAAACATGTTCTTCCATGTTAAATTTTGCTAGCGGTGGTTCTGGTTCAGATCTAGACAATGGATGGCTGTTAAATTTTGATGGTATCCATCAAATCCCAGCAGGAAAGCGCCAGAGGTTTTAATAAGACCCTGATACTTACTCTCTAGTAAAATCAAATTTCAATGATTCAAGGCATAATATAGTTTTGTTTTCAGGGTTTGAGTAACATAACTAGTTAACTTTCCTTCCTCTACATGAAATTCTATATTTCTACTTCCTTCTTGACAAATCAGATCATCTCTTAGAAATTTGAAGTCCACTAACATTTGACAAAATTGGAAAAGCTTAAAGAGTTCATGCACATGAAGTTGCTCTCATCAAATATTCGCCTAAAAGAAGAGGGTACAAGGACAATTTCAGCTCAAAACAGAAAGTATTTGTTGGGCGTGAAGTACTGGCTACATGCCTCAGTCAGCCATTAATGCGAGGAAATAATTAACGGGAAGAGAATCAATGGGAGTAAAATATTCATAAGCCGCAAATTAGTTGCCTCACTTCAAGACATTAGAGAATTAACTCTTGAACGGACTTGAGCTGGACTGGACTTGTCGGTGGACATGACTGGGCCTCAAAAAATATATATATATAGAAAGAGGTTATATCCATATCAAACTCTGCTTAGGATCAGGGACGAATCCAGGATTACTGAAATGGGCCAATTTTTTTTAAATTTATTTTTAAGGGGAAAAAAAAAGACTACTACTTTCTCGAGAAAATTATACTTTAATCCCTCTTGTTTTGAGGGATGAATTAATTATCCTCTTTTATTTTCAAAATTAATTAGTTATTTTTTATATTTTTAAATCTATTTATAATTTATTTTTTATCATTTTTTAATAGAAACAAATATATAGAAAAATATGAAAAAATTGATGAGAATTTTTTTATAGAATAAAAATAATATTAAATTAAACATGATCTAGTTAAAAAATTAAATAATTATTTAAAAAAACTAATTAATTTTTTTTATAAAACGGGCTGATTGATAATTTACTCATACTTTCACGAGCTTAGTATACTGCATAGTTGCGGAAACTGATGCTCTTAAATACAACCAGGACTTTTTTTTTTTTTTTTTTCCCAGAAAGGCAAGGGATGAAAATAAAGAGGGAGAGAAAAAAAATCCCTTTAAACATTTTTTTTAATTTTTAATTTGAAAAAATAAAAAAATCTAAATCGACAGATTTCTTTGCTTTAGCCCAGGAAGTTGGTCCGATTTGACTCGACAACAAAACAACAAACTTAAACCATAGCCGGTTTAGGCTTGATTTTTTTTATGTGATAGCATGTTGTTTTAAACTTGTTTATATATCAATTAAAATTAAATTTTTCTCAAAAATATTTTAAAGATACATTTTTATATCGATCTATTGTATTAAAAAAATTTAATTAATTTTCCTAGATATAGTTCAAATTTTAATTCTAGAAAGTAAAAAAAAAAAAAAAGAAAGCTAATTAGTTCTATATTATCCTAAACTTTTAATCAAGCAGAAATAGATCTTCAACTTTTAATTTTTTCAATCTAAATCCTAATTTTTTTTCGAGTCAGCAATTGAATCTAGCCTTTGGGTTGATCAAACTCAAACTATATTTTTCAAAAATAGTTTAATGAAACAACGACATGTGGCTTGAAAGAGACTCTCTCAATCTCAAGCACTCGAATTGACACAAAACAATTAAAAATTTTTAAATGACTAAATAACCCCTAGAGTAGAAAAAAATAAATTAACTGTAGAAAATCAAATTAAAAAGGAAAGAAAGAAAGATCGCTTCATCTTGATGAAGCAATATACTCCCAGTCCTACAAAGCTTCCTCAAATGATGACTAAAACAACCTCACTCCCGCTCGGCAAACAAAACCGAAAAAACTTATTCCTTTTACTACCTTCTTTCAATCAAAGCAAATGGGATTTGTGCAATTCTAATATGATTCTCTTTCAACATTGCATGGCTACCTAAACAGAAATTTTCTATATATATAAAAAAAAGTCTTAGCCAAAAAAAAAAAAAAAAAACTTACAGAGGGTAACGAGGATGAGAAGGGGTGCAAATTTGGGGAAGAGTTGATGCAGGGCTTGTTCAATTGAAGAGACTCTATCTCCAATTGAGGGGAAGAAGGAAGGAAAATACATTTAATCTATTTGATGAATTGCCTAATAAGGATTTGGTCTCATTGAATTCTTTTATTTCTAGATTTTTTGGGTTTTTGGGAAATTTTTTGATTTCTAGGTTTCTATGGAATTCCTTGATTCAGGGGGTTTCTAGGTTTGGGTTTCCTTGATTTGAGTGGAAGAAGGAAGGAAGATGCATTTGATTTGTTTGATAAATTGTCTGAAAAGAATTGTTCTCCTAAAATTCTTTGATTTTTGGCTTTACAACAACACCTCTTTTCTGTTTCCCTTCCTCGAATTCAGATTTTCTTTGTTTTTACTTTCTTTTTAATGAGATTTATTTATTTATTTATTTATTTATTATTATTATTATTATTATTTTTTATTTTTTGCCTTTATGTGTGATTAGAATTGGATCAACAAGAAAGTTACACTTAATTATTGATAAAAAAAAAATTAAAGGTTGGAAAACTGTTTGATAAAAAATTCAGAATATTATGGAACCAATTAGTTATAAAAAAACCGTCATTAACCAGGCCAATTACTTGAGATTGCTTAAACATAGTACAATTTGCCTTATTTTTATAGCGAGATGACATAAGAAAAAAATAAAATAAAAATCAATGTGCGCATCCTACACAATCCCTATGCTAAACAGAACATATCGTTGTGACATGAACACAAACATAGAGTGAGGAAGTAACCAACATGAATATAACATGATTTTTAATTTCTTCACTGGCCATAGAAATATTATTTTATAGATGAAACTTTTAATATCTAAAGACTAACTTTTTATTATAACCTTTATTTATTTATAAGTCTATTTCTCAGTTAGCTTTTCTTAATTTTATTTCATGAGGTATTGGAGAAAACTATAATAATAAATAATAAATTAATATTAAAATTATATACTCTTAAAACGTTGAAGATGTTGCAGTGACATATTATTAAAGATGGTTTTTACAAAAAAAATTGTTTAAAGAAAATGTTACTTGCCTATTTATAGAAACGCCTTACAAAACCATTATCATAAAAAACTATTTTTCTTTTTTTTTTTAAATGACAATAATTATAAAAATTAACAAAAGCCAATAAGTTACAATGAATATATAAAAAGAGATCTGATTTATAGAAACTTTTGAAAAATAGGTGGGTTTTATAAAAAAATTCAACATTATTAGTCAATTTTTGTACAATAAGGCCATCAATCCATACAATTACTCAATTCGAGTAGTCACTCTGTCTTTAAATTTAATACTTTTGATTATTTATCACTCTATATGAAACCTCCTAGATTTAATACTTTTAAAAAAAATTGTGTTACTCTTTTTTGATAGAAGCTCTTTGATGAGACTTGGTCCCGGACTTAGTCTTTCTTGTTATTTAAGTTATCTAGTCTTAAGGAAAGTCCTATTCTTAAGGTTAAAGTAGTTAGAACTTGTTTTTGAATTCAAACTGAATAATCACGTTGAATACGTGAAAGTAGTTGCAGCATTTTTCTCCATTCTCGTTTTGTACAAGGTCGTTAAATAGCACGATTTACAATTCAATAAATGAGCTTTAGTGCATCAACATTTGCGTTCTTGAGCTTCATTTGTTTTTACAATACGGTATCGAGCCATATACGGGGCACGACGGGGAGTGTTTAAGAGAGTAAACACGAGAGAAGAGAGAAAAGAGAGAAAGAGTGAAACAATGGCAAGTGAAGGACATAACATGCCGACAATTCCCAAATTCGACGGGGATTATGAATATTGGTCCATGCTCATGGAAAATCTATTACGTTCAAAAGAATGGTGGCATCTAGTCGAAACGGGATTCACAGAGCCGGGAAGAGGAGAGGTTCTAACTAGAGCACAAAGAGCCACTCTTGCGGACTTGAAATTGAAGGACCTCGAAGTAAAAAACTACCTCTTCCGGGCCATCGACAAAACCACTGCGAAGACCATCCTTCGGAAAGACACATCTAAACGACTTTGGGACTCCATGAAGACAAGATACCAAGGAAATGAAAGGGTGCGCAGTGCGCAGCTACAAGCTCTTCGAAGGGAATTCGAAGTACTTGAGATGAAGGTTGGTGAGACTGTTAATGACTATTTTTCCGAGTCATGCTTGTCGCTAATAATATGAGGAACCTTGGAGAGGATATGGAGGATGGAAAGATCGTGGAGAAGGTCCTACGTACACTCTCGAAGGTTGGAATTATGTAGTGTGCTCCATAGAAGAATCGAAAGATATCGAAGTCTTTACGTAGATGAATTGCAAAGCTCATTATTAGTGCACGAGCGAGAAAATTCAAAAGAAAAGCATTGCCGAGGATCAAGTATCGAAAGTGACGGCCGAGTCTAGTAAAGGTAAAGGCATAGGAGGGAGTTATAGAGGCGGGGGTCGAGGAATAGGAGGACGAGGATGGCCGGCCTCTAATAAAGCCACTGTGGAGTGCTATCGATGTCATAAGCTCGATCACTTTCGGCGTGAGTGTCCAACCCGGGGAAAACAAGCAAATTTTACTCGAACTAGATGAAGAGGAAGAGATGCTCGCTTATGGCTTATGTTGAGGACATTGGAGCAAAAGAGAAGACATATGGTTCTTGGATTCGGGATGCGACGAACCATATGTGTGGTGATAGAACTCTCTTCGCATAATTAGATGAAATATTCAAGCAGGTCGTAAAACTTAGAAACAACACAAGGATGATGGTTTTGGGAAAAGGCGAGTGTCAAAATGGAGGTAAATGGAGTAAATTGCATTGTTGATAATGTGTTTTACGTACACGAGCTTAAGAATAACCTCTTAAGCATAGGACGGCCTACAAGAAAAGGGCTTATCCGTTCGATCGAAGGAGGAAAATGCAAAATATATCATCCACGAAGGGTCTCATTATACAATCCGAGATGACGACTAATCGGATGTTTATTCGGTAGCGAAAATAATGTCTAAGTCCAAACAAGAAGTTCGCTTCAACACCGCCACTCAAGACCTATCCCACTTATGGCATCGTAGACTTGGGCATATCGGTAACACTCGGTCTTCAAATCTTCCAGCGTAAGAAATTGGTACACGGACTCCCACGACTTACAATCTCGGAAGAAATTCGCATCCATTGTGTGAAAGGCAAGCAACATAGAGAACCCATCTCAAAACGCAGCACATGGAGAACATCTCAAAGGTTAGAATTAATTCATGCGGACCTATGTGGACCAATTTCTCCTACCTCAAATAGTGGAAAGAAATATGTGCTATGTTTGATCGATGATTTTAGCCGTAAAGCTTGGTCATATTTTCTAAGTGAAAAATCGGATGCATTCTCCGTATTCAAGCTTTACAAAATATTTGTTGAGAAAGAAACAAGTCTCTCCATTAAATGCCTACGAACGGATCGTGGGGGAGAATTTACATCCACAGAATTTAATGACTTCGCAAAGAGAATGGGATTAAGAGGCAATTAACCACTTGCTACACCCTCAACGAAACGGAGTTCGTTGGGAGAAAGAATCGCACGATGATGAACTCGGTAAGAAGTATCGTTGTCGGAGAAGGAAATTCCAAAAACATTCGGCTCGAAGCGATGAAATGGGCAATATACGTGCTCGAATCGATGTCCTACGGTAGACTAAACAACATGACACCGGAAGAGGCGTGGAGTGGCCTACGGCCATCAATCGGACATTTCGAGTCTTTGGATGCGTATGTCATATCCACATACCGGACCGAAAAGAACAAAGTTGGACAACAAGAGCGACGAGTGGAGTTCTCTTGGGAATTAGTGAAGAGTCCAAAGGACATAGGATTTATGATCCTATAAAAGGAAAAGTGGTGACCGAGCAGAGATGTAATCTTTGAAGAAAACGATGAGCTGGAACCAGGACAAGAGTTTCGAAAAAGAAATATGTGCCGAGTTCGAATGGGGAGAAGAAGTTATAACTACGGAGCTAAGTGATGAGGATGCCGAGACCGAAGAAAAGAAGAAGAAGAAATTAATGCGAAGCAACCTCCTCTTCCGAGTTCAAATCCGGAAGAACATCGAACTTGAAGACCTCCTTGTTGGATGGATGATTACATCGGTGGGGAAGGGCTCTCGGAGGGTGATGAGGCCGTGGTGAATTTTGCTTTAAACACCACTACTGATCCAACGTGTTTCGAAGAAGGCTGTGAAGAATGACAAGCTGGAAGAAAGCAATGCAATCGGAGATTCAAAGCATTAAGAAAAATGGAACATGGTATCTCACCGATTTGCCGAATGTGCCAAATGCATTGGAGTTAAATGGATTTACAAGACAAAGTTTAATGAACATGGTGAAGTGGAGAAGTTCAAAGCTCGTCTAGTTGCAAAAGGGTACGTACGGGAGTATGGAATTGATTATTGTGAAGTTTTTGCGCTCGTAGCTCGAATGGACACGGTCGAACCATCCTTGCCTTAGCCGCTCGTAAAGGATGGGGAGTGTATCAACTTGACGTGAAATCGACCTTTTTGCATGGTGATATGTTGGAGGATGTTTACGTCGAGCGACCTAAAGGCTTTGAGAAGGAGGGAAAGCTCGACAAAGTATATAAATTAAGAAAAGCATTGTATGGATTAAAACAGGCTCCTCGAGCTCGGTTTAGTCGCATAGAAAGCTATTTCTTAAGGGAGGGTTTTGAGAAGTGTTCCAGGTGAGCGGACACTCTTCATAAAGAGCAATGATCGAGGCATGCATTTGATTGTGAGTTTATATGTTGATGATTTAATATATACTTGGAGATGACAATGCAATGATGAGGGAGTTCAAAGAATCAATGATGAAGGAGTTTGATATGTCGGACTTAGGAAAAATGAGGTATTTTTTGGGAATCGAAGTACAACAAATGGAGTTTGGAATTTTTATTTGCCAAAAGAAGTATGCGTCAGAGGTGCTCGAAGAGGTTTCGAATGGAGGGATGCAATGTTGTCTTGAATCCAATTGTCCTTAGTTCAAAAATCTCAAAGGATGAAAATGGGATAATGGTTGACGAGCACCTATTACAAGCAATTGGTCGGTAGCTTAATGTATTTAACTTCTACTCGTCCCGATTTGATGTTTGCAGTTAGCTTGATTAGTAGGTATATGTCGCAACCTACGAGCTTCATTTTATGGCTGCAAAAAGAGTGCTAAGGTATGTAACTCGGAACTCGTGGCTATGGAATTCGTATCGGAGGAGTTCCGGTGATACTTTAGTTGGATACACCGATAGTTACTATGCTTGGATGTATGGAAGATCGAAAGAGCACTTCGGGATATGCATTTATGATGAGTTATAGGGCGGTAGCTTGGTCTTCGAGGAAGCAAGCAATCGTAACATTATCAACCACGAAGGTCGAGTTCGTGGTCGCTGCAGACATGCGCTTGTCAAGCAATTTGGATGAAGAAAGTTCTCACAAGCCTTGGATGTAATGGTAATGAATGCATGACTATTTTTTGTGACAATAGTTCGACTATCAAATTGTCCAAAAATCCGGTCATGCATGGGAGAAGCAAACACATTGAAGTGCGATTTCATTTTTTAAGGGAGCTATCGAACAAGGGAAAAGTGCAGCTGATTCATTGTGGCACTCGGGAGCAAGTTGCGGATATATTTACAAAACCCCTCGAAGCTTGATCAATTTCGAAACTCGGGGCTCGTTTAGGCGTGTGTGAATTAAACTAAGCGAGTGTTGCTTAGTTTAAGGGAGGGTTTGATAAAAGCTCTTTGATGAGACTTGGTCCCATACTTAGTCTTTGCTTGTTATTTAAGTTACCTAGTCTTAAGGAAAGTCCTATTCTTAAGGTTAAAGTAGTTAGAACTTGTTTTTGAATTCAAATCGAATAATCACGTTGAATACGTGAAAGTAGTTGCAGCATTTTTCTCCATTCCGTTTTGTACAAGGTCGTTAAATAGCTCGATTTACAATTCAATAAATGAGCTTTAGTGCATCGAGCATTTGCGTTCTTGAGCTTCATTTGTTTTTACATTTTTTATTATTATAGAACGACGAGCATATCCGTACAAGGGTAGGAGGGGTCACGACCCTTAAATTTTATTATAATAAATGATTTCTCGTATGATCTAGTATACTATTTTCTCATTTAATTTATATTGCAATGGTTTCTACGACAAAAGTGCAATAAAACTTTTTATTTTTTATTTAAACAATAAAATTAGTAATAATTTCAAAGTGAAACTTAATTTTCTAACTCACATAAAACTTTTATTAGCAATTAAAAAACTATAATCTAAAATAATAATTAATATGTTAGTATTTTGAGTGTTTTCTTGTTTATTAGAATGGATAACTTAATAGATTATATGAAATTTATTGCAATAATAAATATACTAGAAATTATATATGTGGCGGGTATGCAAGCTAATATATTATTAATATATGTCGATTTAATTTGTCCTCAAGGATAGAAACACCATCTAACGCAATCATAAGTTCAAATTTCCAGCATAAGAAGCTTGCTCATTAGTCATTGACTTGATAACCCAATCCATAAATATGAACTACTGGTTCTCAGGTCAGCTGGCTCCTCAAACTTTAGTCCTGATCAGAGATGACAGGAGATATGAAGGAATTGAATTCTGTGGGGGGTTATGAAAAGAAAAGAAACATGAGGGAGTTGAGTTACGTGGGGTTTGTAAGGATAATATAATTATAGTTATAATTTTGATAGGACATGAATCACAATATCAACAATGAGATGATAATTATTATTATAACTATCGACGATATTTTTTTTTAAGATGAAAATTTTATAATGTGTATTTTGAAATTGTAATATATTTTATTATTTTTTGTGTGATATTAAACTTATTAACTTTTTTGTTTAATAAATTTAACTATTGTTGTATGGTATTAAATTATTAAGATGTTATTATTTTACTTAATTAATAAAACTGTTAAAAATATATAAATTAGAATAAATTTACTAATACTTGTTAATATATTCACGATATCGATTGTCATAACTATTATTTAACTACTACTATAAAAAGCAATCCACGATCGCAATTACTATCATTTTTACATTCGCATTCACTATTTAAAACTCTGTGTACATCTTATTTCATCTTCTTTTTGCTTATCATTAGTTTCATTCTCAAGTTTGTTAGTATGGCTTCTTACTGTTTAGCCTTCTTACTAGGTTCTTGATAGATGTTTGTATATTGAATGTTGTTATTATTATTATTTTTGTAAAATGTTACCGATCATTGGGTTTGTTTATTTTTCTCTTAGAAGTTTACTTTGTGATTTTGGTTTGAATAAGAGGTTTTTATTATCATATTACTTTTGCTGGTTTGATGGAAAATAGGCAACCTTATTATTTATTTATTTATTTCACACAAATTTAGAAGTTTAAAGTTCTTATATGATTTTTTTTTTTTAACAAAGTATTTCATAGTCAATTTGCACATCAATTGACATTAAATATTCTCTACAGACGATTTTAAATATACGCCCTCCATATCGACTTAATATATTTAAATATTTTAATAAATTTTTATATATTTTGGGCATGGATGTTGTGTAGATGCTAAAATTTGGGCACACAATTGTTGATTCAGCATGGTTGATGGGAAGCCTACCACGACAATACAGAAAGAAGATCTTATTTATAAGAGAATATATATATGGGCATATTTGTCAAAATAAAAAAAATTAAATTTAAATAAACTTTTTTGTAATCCCCTTGCTATATATATATAAGCATTTAGATTTTAGAAGATAATGTGAGTTTTATGGGGCTCATCATTAGAATGCTGGGGCGTAAAATGCATATAATGGTTAAAAATTATATTTAAATTCAATGAATCTTTTCATAATTTTACTTAAATCCAACAGCTTAATATTTTAAAAATGTCTGCATTCTACACGGTCACCCTAAGTGCCGAAATTAAGATTATATTATTTTTTTCTAATAAAATTTTGTTAAACTGTGAAGACTACTATAAAGGTAATTCACGATTTAATATGCTCTGTATAATTAATATGACGGTTTTGTTAATAGGAACTTTTAATAATAGATACATCATCAAACCTGATACGTAAATCTTGTATGGTATGATTATTATTGTCTTCTTATTTTATTTTTCACCTCATTCGTTTGCTAACAAATTCTTGTTCATCAATTGGATTTATTTGGAAGTTCAATCTCTGCCAAATCAGATCCTGCGATTTTTATATCACCATGTTTGGGGTCCGACATGTCCCATTGAAGCCAAGTTATTGACGTTGGTTTCTCTGTCTCTTTGAAACGGAGGCTTCAATTTTCGTTCCGTTGCCCCGCAGCTTTTCATGCTTGGGGTCTATTAAAAGATGTATTAACATCCTCTATCCATAGCTGTATTCCGAAATTCCATACTTTATTCCATCCATCAAACTTGTTAACCCTGTATTGAATATTCACATAGCATTGATGAATTAAAGCAGAAGCTTGCATACACCATCCTTGAATTAGAGTCAATGAAAGTTGCAGCAATGAAGAAATGAGAAAGCACATGGAGGATGAAGCATTTAATCAAGCGTAAAATGTACAAGGGCCCTCTATACTTTTACCTCAAAGAGTCTTTGAATAAATTATTCTGGATAAATAATTCTGATAAATTTTACCCCTTAATCAATCTCCTTAAGATTGTTTATCATGGCTTAAAAGAAGGTTGGTTTGAGCGAATTGAGTTTTAGCCGGTTCAACAAATAGTCTTGAGTAAAAATCTTTTGTATAGAGAAAACTTTTGAATAATTCTGTTTGTCTTATACTTTTGACCAAACAGTGAAGAATTCATCTGAACAATCAATATTGATGCTAAAAAAATAGGTTCAGTTAGAAACATAAATACATGTTAGAAACTCAAACTATTATATAAAAATGAATTGAGCAATTTACTCGAATTTTAAAAAACTAACACAGTTTAAAATGCATATGACACGAGAAAATAATTAAAAATTATGACATTGATGCATCCAAAACACAATCAGTACTGATGCTAAACATATATACCATAATATTGTTTGTGACAAGAACATAAATATAATGCGTGAAATTGACCAACATGACTTTTAATGTCTTGGTCATTCACCATACAACATTGTTTTATACACGAAACTTTTAAATTTCAAAGTCTTATATAAATAAACTTGAACAATAACTTTATTTTGAAGTATGGGCAATTTGTCTACCGAACTTTCTTTTTTCTTTTATTTATTAGATATTGGAGGCAATAATAATAATAAATTAAAATTGAAAGTATATTATTTTTTTATAAATTTGATATATATAACTTAGTCCACTAAAAAATGTTTTATGATAATATTGAAAATTAATGTTGAAAATAGGAATTTATAAATTTATAATGGTAAACAATTCTAAATTTGATGTGGGATGACATCTTCTACTTAGTCTTTCACGGAGTAGCAATGATCTTTCTAGAAACTAAGAATATTTACACAAGCGTTTCAGCCCAATCAGAACTTGTATTCTCACCCAATCAGGTATTTGTGGAGTCCTTAGAAATCACGAAGGCAAATTTCTATGTAGTCAAGTCTGACAAGATCAATGAGGCAGAAGTTATGGCTACTAATAAAGATCTTAAAATTATTATCTGCATATGCTAGCAAGCAGATTGGGTCATTAAAATGGATTCATCTAGTGCAATTGGAACAAGAAGAAAGAAAGCAAGCCATGGAGATTGCAGAACATTTTCAACTCAATTGCAACCCTAAAAATGATTTTGAAGCAATTATCTTTTTATTGATGGATTGTGAAGGCGTAATGCAACAGCTGATAGGTCAAAAAATTTCATGTGATCCCCTCATGTTTTCTTGGTCATAATTTTTGTGCTTTATAGCCCTCATCTCTTCGAAGGTACTCATCATGCCTGCTTTGTAAACTTGTAAATAATGGTATCGCTGTATATCCCTTTTGACAGTTTGTGATTTGGATTCTTTTTCACTTTAAGATAATTGCTAACCGGATTAGCCTTCATTAATTGTTTGACCAATTATGTTTTTTTTTTTTTTTTTTTTTTTTGTTATATTTCTAGAAGTAGCAAAAATGCATTTCACAAATCCTGACCATATTCAATTTTCCTTTGACATAGATATCATCAAGATCATTTTCCTTTGACATAGATATCATCAAGATCATTCAAATGGCTTCGCATTTCGGTACGTTCAGGATTTTCTTAAAATTGAAATTCTTGTTGTTTTTTTGCTAGATGAATTTTGTAAATGCAGAATGGCCATTGTTATTGATGGATAAAAATTGATGTACTGCAAATTTCTACCACTATCTTATTACTCTAGCTAATTCTACATTAGCTTAATTGATATGATTAATTCACAGTTTTGTCTTTCTTTATCTGTCTCTTAATTTTATTTTTAGAATTTAAGTAGCTGAAATAATTCCTAAGAACTATGATAAAAAATGTGGTTACTTGACCAATTTTATTCAATTGTAAATCAGGGTCAGAAATTTCAACGTAAAAGCACATGAATTGTGTGTTATCGATGTTACCAATTTAATTATTTATCAGTTTTTAATTTTTTGTAGATTAATTACATAAGCCATTTCCACATGTAATCATAATATAACACAAAAAAATGTATATAATTGCGTAACAAAACAGTAATAATACTTTGTAATAACTTACAATTATTGCTTGATATTTAACTTTTATCCTTTATAATGTAATAGTTTTGAAAATAGCAATGTTGTTTCCGGGTACATAATATTAAATATAGGGAGAAAAAAAAGGAAAGAAAAAAATAGAAATAGTAAATTTATATATATATATATATAAAAAACACAGATGCGCGTAGAGTGCGGGTCAAATACTAGTTCAACTTTAAGTTTGCTAATGGGCCGATACAATGGGCCGATAGGATTTAGCATAAAGCCCACATTCACAAACCGTCTAATCTGAATGTCACATCTGTCTACAATACACTAGCTACCACTCGTTCATTTAGACAAGCCCAACACCTCTTTCACAATTGGTTTCATCTTGAGTCTGCAGAAGAGAGCTTGAACGCAATTTTTGCACCTCCAAATACGAAACGTTTTATTTTATTTTTTCTATTATTGTATATTTTTGTGTCAATTTGCCCGCTAGTAAGATTAAGTCTTCTTTTAGATGAGTTTTATGTGTATACCTTTTTCATTGGTCACTTGTATGATAAAAATAATTTTTTTAGATGCCGACATCAAAGCCTCTACTACTAATACTACTACTATAAAAAAAAAAAAAAAAAACCTCTTTAACACTATGCGTATCCCTTGAAAATTCACCTAAAATATTCTACATCTTTTACTTGAGTTTATGATACTTTTCTCACATGCATTATTATAGTATGATAGACTTACCATGTATCTTTTCGCTATAAATTTAATATAATTATTTTATTTTATTTTTTTAATCGATTCAGCATTGCTTTTAACCGATAAGTATTGGAATATTTTTATTAAAATATTAAAAAATACATTTATTATTATTAATCCTAAACCCCAAGCCATAAAAAAATCCCATACCTTTTCATTAGTTAATTTTTTTTTTAACTATCACAATTTTTAATAAATTATTATTAATCCTAAACCCCAACCCATAAAAAAATCTCATACCTTTTCATTAGTTAATGATTTTTTTTAACTATCACAATTTTTAATATTTTATTAAAAATATTCCAACAATCTCCCACTTATTTTTTTATACATAAAATATTAACCATATAATTTGGATAAAAAAACAAATATAATACATAATAAGAATACTAATGACTTTAAACTTTTATTTAGTATTTCAATAATATTGCTCTAAAACCAATAGCAAATTGTCTTGAATTAAGTTTTTTTTTAAAAAAAAACTCAGGTATTTTACAATGAGTTTTAGAGTTAACACATTTATGGTCTTATACTAAAACAAGATGGCATCATTGTATTTTTTAATATAATAAAAAAACATTGAGTATAGTCTAGTTTTTATATAAAAACTTGACATCATTGTATCTTATATATACAATAAAAATGTCAATATTTTGCTAGAGATTTGAATTTATCAAATTATCATTAATTTTCTTATTTGACAATGTCATCAAAACACTATATTGTGCTTTAATTGTGCAATAAGAGTGTACTAATTTCATCAATTCTCTCAACAATATATTTGTTAAATACTCATAAGCATCAATATTTTATAAGAGTGATGCAATTTTATTTTAAGTTTCAAATCTTATAAGTAGTGAAAACTTGTAAGACAAAATAAGGTCGTTGAATTTGTTGTATTCTTTAGACGACGTTCAATATACATGTAATCCATTGCATTAGAATTTTCTATAGATGACATGTATTGTCTTAAAAAAATAATCTGATTGTGTTTCGAGACAAATATCTCAAGTTTTTGATAAAATTATTTTGATGGTTCAGCCATTTTAATTTATATCTCAAAACATAGTAACATAATTTTAATTCTTAATTTTTCTAATGATCAAAGTAAAAGGTTCTAATTTTTTGTTCATCTTAATTTATGATGAATTTATTTATTTATTGTGTGATTTTTATTATTTAATTATGTTCTTTTTTATATACTAGTAACAACAATTAGTCTTTTATTTTTATTTTTATTTTTTAAAACCATTGGCACTTGGTATCTTCCTTTCCTCTCGAGCACTCAAAGTTCTTTTCCATATTTAACCCTCTTTATCATCTCAAAGTCTTAACTATTTCCTCTTTAGCATCTAAATGTTGTTTATTATGATTGACGCTGAATGAAGATCTGAAGGGAAAGTAATAAAGCTGAAAAAGAAAAAAAAGTTATTTGTTGTTGAGAACCACAATTATCACAAAACCATACAAGTTTTTGCTGTTATTCCTTATTTGATCTTCTCTCATTTAAGTATAATAAACTCAGAAAAAATAACAGATACCTAGTAGTTTTGTTTTCATTTTTGAACAGAGATACCTAGTACTTAGCATCTAATAAGAATTTAAGATAGGAAATTTCGAAAATTTATATTATTAAGTTAAATATATTATGCAACTGTTTAGGTACTGTTTATCTGCTTACCAAGGGATAACCCTGCTTAAGTGCTAAAAACCATGCATGTGGATGCAATAGATCAGAAAAGTATATTTCACTACTACTAACCCGCGAGAAGAAATTTCTCTGTAGATTTTATTGGGGAAAAGAAATCTAATGCGTTAAGAAAATAATTTATAAAAAATACTATTATTAATTATAATATAAATGTTATTGACTAATTAATTGCTATTATATATATATATATATATATATATATATATATATATATATATATATATATATATATATATATATATTATTTTTTATAATTTATTACTGAAATAATTTATTTATTTTTTATTTTTTCTTTTCTTTTCTTTTCTTTTCTTTTTTATGAACCTGCTATTACCAAAGACAATGTCAGCATATTGATCATTTATAAAATTGTAGATCTATATGTGGATTTGTCTAAATACT